TAAGTGTGTCCAGTTACCTTTCTTTTGTTTGTTCTCCAAGTCAGAACGTTGGACACGGGTTTCATCCTGGTGTTCTGTGGGTAGCTGCTTGAGAACCCTAGGACCTTCCCTTGCAGGGCAGAATACAGAAGGAAAGGTCCAAGGTCCTGGGGTCAAAGTTGTTCCGCGTTTCCATCAAGTCCATGAACCTATAGTAATCCAGGAGTAGACAGAATACGAACCAATCCAAAGTCCAGGATGGCTGTACGTTTACAGCACCTCCAGTAGCTCCGAATCAAGGCCTTGAGGCTCGGTGAAACAACCACCCAAGCATACCCAAGCTCAATTCGTAACGCTCCCCAGCTACCAGGAGCTACCAGGTGCAAGCCATGAACTGGCTCAACGGCGAGAACTCCTGGGGAATCAAGTCGGAACGCCCGGGACAAGCGCGACCGCCAGTCACCCTCGATCCGGGCTGCGACCGTTCTTGGGGGGAACTCGCTGGTGTCCAACCTGAAAAGGGCACCGTTTTTGCGGGTTTCCCGGTTCCGAGCTGATCATACCGATCTTCCAACTGAAACATGTCTGCCTTTTCATCCATAACACCAGCTAACTGGCATACATCTTGCATGATAGGTACATGTGTCCATATGTTTCCTTACTCGGGTGGACAACCAAGTTTAGCCACCCTGGTGATCGTGTTGTTCTTCGACCAGCGGATGGGACGTGCGAAGGAAATTGATGAGGAGTTCGGTTTCCTCCACAAACACATATTTGGGTTTCGCACATGTCACCCTTCGGTTTCCCCAAAAAAGCAACCCAGGAAGTGTTCACTTCGTTTGTGTCACATCCCTTCGACGGATTTTCTGTTGTCGTTGGTCGCCAAATGGTCACTGAACGGGGCGGGGCACCACTCTGCTGAATCGCGGTGCAGCGCGGTGCTACGTGGGAAGCATGGGATTTAAAGTGAATGTAGCTACGACACATCCAAAAACAACGTCAATTGGTGCTCATTGGATAAAAGCCAGAATCATTTGGAACAACTACTAACTCGTTTTCAGAGTGATCACAAGCTATCAGTAGCTGGTGTACGGATTGTCCAGTCCTCGAAAGCCCTTTTGGTTGAGACGTTCCTCGACCTCACCGAGAAGGTTTTACATAAGAGTCGGTCGGTCGTTCTCACTGCGGGTCACTGGACCCCAGTGCTTTCCGAAACCTCTGAAAGAGTGGGAAGGGTTTCTTGGGCCTTTGAGGAAGTCGGACGTCCAACATGCACGTTTGTCGCGTTTTCCTCTCATATGGATGTTTTTCTCTCATATGGAGCGTGGTAACGTGGTACAGAGCACTGTGGAAGTTGTTTTGCTCGGACATGGCCATGTCCGAGCGATTCAGTGACTGGAGTTTGATGAATGCTTTCACCATCTTTCACCCATGCCACGGTTGTGACATCATGCAGACTCATGCAGTTAACGTACATCATTTGGGTTTGTCCTATTACCTGTAACAGTCGGCAAACAATTCTTAACCCTTTTTGAACAAGGCCTTAAGTAACCATCATCATCCACTGTTACAGGTAATAGGATCGACCCGTTAGACGATCACCTATTGTGGTGCATGTGTTCGTGAACTTCAACCCGTCGTGGCTCGGCTCGCAGGTTCTATGAGTTTCAATCCCTCGATACCGGAGGGATGGAGAGTGTGAACGCCTCTCGGCTGTGCTGAAGGGTTGGTCGGTGTGCTGAACGTGTTCATCACCACCGGACTGAAGGCACAAGCAGTTATGGATGAAGCAGTTGGTGTTTTCATAAAGCTACTGCAGTTGGTGTGATGAAAGATATATGCACATCTTCCTTCAAATTCGCGGACGGACCGAAACTGAAACGGCCTCGATCCGAACGGGCTGAACAACCGCCCGAAGATCCGTTAAAGCCCCGTCCAACCACCCTGGTCATCTCTTGCGACTCCCGAGCTCCCTCTCGCTCCCTCCGTGTTGGTCCCACGACAAGCGCGGGTCCCTCCTCGCCTCCCTCCTCATCTCCGCCGTCCACGCTCCGTGCCGCGCGCCGAGTCCGTGAGCTTCGTGGTGCCTGAGTTGGGCTTACGCCTCACGGTGGGGTGCGTGGTCGGGGAGAGAGAGCACCAAGATGGTGGTCGGGAGGAGGGGGAGCGCTATCGGGCTAGCTAGGCAGCGCTGGAAAAGGTGGGAGTGGACCAAGCGTTTCGTGGGCGCTCTAAAGAACACAGCTCTTTCAATTTCATGTCCCCCCCCTCCCCCAAAGTGAAGGATGTTTGTCAGTTTTTGGCCGTCCAAGTCTGGTGGGGGGTATGAATCAAGAGCCGACAGACACAACTGATGGACCGGACATGAACCGTTTGGACCGGATCCTCGGACCGGGTCTGGTCCTGGCTGAGTAACGACGCGAGATCTGGTCTGCGTGTTTCTTTCTTTTTTGGGTGGATGGGTGGGTGAGTGGGCACCCCATTGGATGACACACACACACACACTTAGATCCATGCTCGCAAGTCGCAAGAGCTATATCAGTTACGACTTCCACGTGAAGCTAGCACCTTACATTACTGAAAGCTAGACCTTGACTTGCAGAACGGAAAGGTGATTGAGTTCGCGACAACAGACGGTTTGAACAAAGATGCATTAGCACTTTAGTGAACAGTGGTGAACAGCTTGGACAATAGTTGAAAGAAAGCGCAATCTAAAAATTGGTGCAGGTACGCCCAGAAAGCGTCCCTTTTGGATATCACGACCAAACTATCACTGTCTTCGTCGGGCAGTGAGTGATAGTGGACCGCTGCCCCCCTGCTGTTCTGTACGAGGTGAGGTGAATTAAGAGGGACAGTCCTAGAGACGTTACTTAGCAATGTGGTCATTCTCCTTAGATACAGGAGGTGACACACACACACACACAAGCACCCCTGCAGCTGAAAGGGGGTTGTCCACTCACCCTTAGACTCGAAAGATACCGCTTGTCCTGGAACTCTGATTTCGGTAGATGCGCCCTCGCCATGTTTCCGGCTTTTGCTCTCAACCTTTGAGTTTCGTGAGGGTGACTCGTGAGATGTACGAGTTTCGTGAGGTTCTTGTGCGGGGGGAAGGAACGCCTTTGGCAAAACAAATTGAACGTGGCTTGGACCAAGTTCTGGTGTGTGTGAGTGCATCATAGTGCGTGCGTGTGTGCGCGTGCGCGCGAACCCCGCAGCTGACCCCCGAGCTGCTGGGTTCTTGTGAGTGGTCTTTGCTGATGTTGGATTTAACCAATTCTCCACATTTACAAAGGGATGGTTTCCCATCATTCTTTTGGCAGTAGACACATAATTACATGGTTGAGACCACATGAGACCATATCAGAAAACAACTGGATTGTCGTTGGAATGAACTCAGTAAGTGAATTCTTCTGCCGCGATCAATCTTTAGCCTTCTATCATTCCGTCCCTTGAATTGGGAGGTCATCGCTTTTAGGTTGGAGGCCATCCATCGCTATTAGGCGATTCTTGAACCAACTCCAGCAACACTCTTCGGTGATCCTCTCAAAGTCCAGAAAAGTCGTTCCACATCTGTCAGGGGAAGACTAGTGTCGATGACCTGTTGTCGGGGAGCCAAGCGGGAACGAAGCTAGTGGCTTCCACATCTGACGTCTCCAAACACAGCAGGACACCGAGGGGATTTTTGCCTCCACATGTCGCTTGCGGTCAGTGCGCCACTTGAAGAGCCACCTTCTGCACCTAAGGGGTCCACGAACGACAGACGAACTCGCATGTGGATGCGGCACGTTTCTTTTCACAGAACGAACCGTGCTGTGAAAAGAACGTATCAACCGAACCTATGAAGACAAGAATGCGAGAAATGCAAGAAGTCGATGCTTTTGGAGCAAATCCCGTTTTTACGAAAACTGTGACCCCACCAATCCAGGGCCCTGTGGCCATGCCATCAGCCCCATGCCCGCTGCCCATGGCCCGTGGCTGAGGCCTCAAGATGAGAAGATGAAGCAACAGCTCATCAAGTACACCGCGTGCACCATGATTCCTTTTTTTGCCCTGACACGTCACATGAACCATCAACCTCTACACCTCCATGCTGTCTCTGCCCTTGGTACAGTATGGAAAGCCCGAAGACATACACCTCAAGAAGTCGACCCTACGGGGGGTGCAACTCTGGTGCGCTTGGCATTCGTGGTTCCCAAACTCCGTCCATTGGACCGGAGCAGAGTACTTGGTCTAACCGTCAAGATCATGCAAGCAGTGTAAGGGCTGAGAGGAAGACATGCTTGGTGGAGAATTTCTTTCAGACTGGACTTTGGGGAGCCAACTGAAAAAACCTGGTGCCCTTGTTCCAGAATTCATTTTTGTGGGAGCAAATTACTTAAAGGTGTGCTGGGTGTTGCGAAGGTAGGGATTGCGGGACTTGAAACGCATTCATGGACCGCCACTGCCTGGAATGAGTTTGATTCATTGCTCACCAACCATTTCACAACGGGGAGCCATGGGGAACCATGGGCCAAATGCCATTCGCATCTATTCGCCAGTCTTGGCTCATGAGAGCTGCAAGCGAAGATGACGTGATGAAGCACAGCAACAAATAACACCCAAAGGCTTGGATGCTGGATGCCCTTAGATGTTTTGGTTCTTACTCTCTCAGGCACCGGATGCACCGGATGCCAACATCGGCGAACATTGTGAGTTTTTCAGGTTCTCTGCGGGCAGACTTCCAAGTACCTCAAGTTGGGCCTCAGAAGTCGTGGTCTTTTCATCCCGTCCAGAGGAAGCATGGAAGAAACACATATGACATATGCATGATGCAACATGATGCAACAAAGCTCAGGAAACCAGCTGAACTGCACTCAGAAACCGCCAGCGGAGTTTTCTTTTAGGTTGGAGGCCATTGCTAGTAGGTTGGAGGCCATTGCCATTAGAAACAAAGAAAAAGGAAAAGGAAAAAGAGGAAGGCAGATCTAATATAGTTTGCTATATAGTTTGCTCAGAAACCAGAAGATCTCACCGATCTTATTCCCAACAAAGGCTGAATTCGGTGTGCTCGGCACACACCGGTTTCGCACTCGCCATGCCGCCTCCGCCACCAGTGAGTTTGCCCAAATCGGCACCCACCGGACAGGCTCCATCTGGGTGGTTTTGCGAGACAAGGGAGTTGCATGTGGCCAAATCAGGCTATTAGGTTGGAGGCCATCCCAATAAGGGTGGAGGCCATCGCTACAAGGTTGGAGGATTGCTAAATCAGGGGAGTTGCTGTAAACGCGTATCCTTTGCAGATTCTCATCATCTATCATCTATCATTTTTGGGCCCGACCTGTGCTGCGAGCATAATTGATGGACCCCAATAAAGAGAGGTCATCTCCGCAAATGAGATTGAATTCCTTGTTCTTTTCCTTCCATGGTCCCTGCTCTTCATTCATAGAGACAGAGATGTCAAAACCAGGCATCCCTCGGGCTTGTGATATATCTTGTGATAGCGTGTTTTGGGCCACTGTCCCTCCCCGGAATAACATCTACTATATATATATCGGATTGTTTGTCTTTCCTCTGACCTGCAGTTTGCCTTTTCAACTTGAGCATCGGTAGATGTTCAATCAACAAGCAGAATCGACACCTACATCATCCCAAACAGCTGATTCTTGCTTTGTCACTACCACGACGTCGGAAACAAAAGGTCCGTTGTAAGCCTTGACCTTTGGAAAGGGGAGCGATGTGCAAGCAACTATAGGTTCGGTAATTTGGCCTTGACCTCGGAATTTGGGCCTAGCTCCGGTGGAGCAACTCCTAACACGTGTTTTGCGACTCCGATTCATCCGGCAAGTCTTCTGCTCAGGCGAAAGCCACAGGCGGATCGCGTCAGTGGGGTTAGAAAGATGAGACAGTGCGACCATGCGGACCATCCAAAGGCTCTACATTTGCGTAGGGAGCAGGGCAAATCCATTGAGGACGAAGCACAAGCACATTCATGAGCAAACGTAGACCGCTGTTTGTGAGTGATGTCAAGTTCATAGGCCTGTATGGACCATACGGGTGAGGCAAAATCACCAAAGTTGTAGGAGAATCGTTCCAAACCTCTGATGCACTGGCTTCGGGGTATATGTATATATATATATATTACATACGGGAACCGATCTATGAGAGCAGCAGTGAGTGGGCCAACTACCTGGCTACCTGTGAAACAAGGTGCTCTCTCCCTCATCCATTAAACCATCATTGAACCATATATAAACGGTTGAACTATCTCTCATGAAAGTCATGAAAGCCAACTGTTCCCATTTGTTCCCACAGTCAAACTTCTAAAACATGGAGGTCCTGACTCCTCTCGACTCCTGCGCAAGGTGCTGGCTACGGTGCACCACCGGCGGCACCGAGCTCCCTGTCGGATGGCCCAGTTGAGCAGCGCAGCCCAGGCGCGGAAGCGCCGTGAGGAGTCTCCGGTGCGTGTCACACATCACCACAGGACACCCATGGACACCCCAACAGCGCAATGTTTCTATGTTTTTGTTGTTTTTTGCCGGATGTGTCCGCTCTGGAAGCTGCGAAAGCTGCACTTGCTTTAGACAGTCATTTAGACATGCTTATATGCTGCATCTCTGTTCATAGCATCTTGGAAAAAACGATTCATCCGTTCCAATGGCCGTCAGGCCGTCAGTCGGTTCAGTCGGTTCAGTGAAACACTGCGTTCGCTTGATTTCCCGTGCCCCAACAGCAAGCTTCATTCACACCAGCATTCATCCCATTCTATGTTTGTTTCCACTACCACATTCACAAGCAAAACCATGTTCAGGGGGGTGGGGAGGTTGAAGACCCAATTATAGCAGCTTCATGCAACTTCCACTTCCATCCCAGATGAGTCGCCCAGCCGAGGCCCAGCCGCCCAGCTCCACCGGCGCCTGGGGCCTTGCCAAGCAAGGCTCCTGCAGCGCCGAAGGGTGTGCCTGGCGCGCCCAAGGCGAGGGGGAAGCATGCCCTCGTTGGAAGGGAACGAAAACACGTCTTCAAACGGCTGCTTTCTTTTGGATCTTATTCGTTTGAAGCGGGTTTGGTCCAGATTGGGTGTTGGATTGTTGCATGACCTTTCTCATGCCAAACATGCAAGGTTGACACACCTAACGCGTACGCTCGGAAGGCCTTTCTTTATCGGTACAGACTGCTGGCCGTGCCAGGCCTTGCCCAAAGCTGAGGCAAAAGGCCGAGCATCGAAGCTCCGCTGTGACGATTTTGTGCAGAGTGGACGCAGTTCACTTTGTTTTGTGGTGGACGCACTCGGTTTCAACCCACATCGGTTGGTCAATGTGTCTTTCCCATCAGGTTTCCATTAAATCCGCTTGCTCATGGCGGGCACACAACACGCTTCAGAATGAGATAGATCCGATGAAGGGCAGCGCAGTAGGGGCATGTTTGCGGGCGCCGCCACAGCGTGGTTTGGAGGCCGTGCGGCGCCACCCCCGCCACGGGCCTTGCCTGGAGTGGGGCGGCACAGAGTGCGGCTGGCGTCTTCACCGCGAAGCCACCCGACGATGGGACATGGGAGGTCTCCATCAGTGCCACCTGTGGCACCCGACGATGGGAACGACCGTGGTCGTCTTCGTTCCACAGAGAAAGCCACCTACCACCTACTGAGGTCGGAGCCCGCGTCCGGAGGTCCCAGAGATTCAGTGGAAGAACGTGGAGCGATGGAGGTGCTACCTCTGTTCCTTTTCTAGGAACATGGATGGCCAGGCCCTGCAAGCAGTTTGGGAAGACCAAAATGATCCAAACATTTGGTCTACAATTTTTGGGCTTCGTTTGAGAATTTGGAAGAAACTTGGGAGGGTGTTCGGTGTTTGGATGGCTTTTCGCATCAAACATGTTTTTTGTTGGTACCGTGTACCGGCGTGCGCCGCCCCAAGGCCGGTCCATCCGATTCAGGTTTCTCTGCACCGCCACCTCCGCAGGGATGCTCAGAGACGATGTGTCGGGCGTCTTGGACGAGGTTTTCCATGGACTGCCGCTATATAAAGGTGGTTTAAGACAGTTTTAAGAGATGTTGTCCCAGCAGAAGGGTTTCAATATGTTTCAACCTCTAAACCTGTCAGTGGTGCACAGTTTGTCAGAGTAATTAGATGGCACCAAGCGCAGTCGACACTAGCAATGACTGGGGATCATTGGCGATCGGCAGCGCCTGGTCGCCGCCGCCATGGCCACTGGCGCGGCAAGTGACTTTGTATCATACTCTACTTCACATCCAGAATTTGGAGGTGATGTCTGGAGAAACTCTCAGAGAGTTTTTCGACCTTTTCTTCGATCTTTTGTTCTTGGAGGATTTCCAAGGTCTTTGGAGCATACCTTTGGGAAACTACATCGTTTGTGGGTTATTCCACCTTGGCACGGTTCATATATGATCGTATGACCTCAATTTAACTTGATTAGACCAGGCGAACATCATTCCAAAGATCTTCAGCATGTCCCATGACCACCAAGTGGCACAAGTCTTTGATCCAGCCCAACTACTGTACAACCACTGGGTTTTAGATGGTCTCTATTTCGCCCCTTCGTTCCATGGACCGCAGGGCCAGTCTGCCAACGGCACCCAGCGCACCCAGTCGTTGCGGGCCCCAGTCTTCGCGAAAGCGCGTTGCGGGCCCAGTCGGTCGGGGAAAGATGAACATCGGATGGCTGACCGATGGCTTCGGCATCGAAGCTACTGGAGAAGTTACGGGTCCAGTCGGGTAGAGTTTCTATAGGTGAGCTTTTAAGAGGATCCGATTGTTCGACAAAGTCATGCTGGGCCGAGATTTTCTTTGACCAGGCCGGACGATCACTGGTCGATGAGGGTGACTCTTCAGTGTTGAACGCGAATGCTCAAATTCGTTCCCAATGAATTCCACAACCTGGCACGAAAGCGGCGGACATGTTTCCAAGTGCAATGCTCTCCAAAGTGCACCCGCGTGGAAAAACCGCGTGCCCATCGGCGTGGAGGATCTCTTCTCTTCTGTTGGCCCAGCACCTGCCCTGAGGTCCAGCACCTGGAGCACCCACTGGGATCCCGGCAGCTCCCTCGCGTCGCTGGGGCGAAGACATGTCGAACCGATCCAACGGCGGCTTTTTTGGAACGCGAAGCCTAGAAAGGGGGTGGGACCACTTTCTTGGTATGAAAAGTGGGCTTCTTCTACTTGTTTGGGGGGGTTTCTATCGGAGTTGAGCTCACTTGCCTGAAGTGGAAGGTGAGTTGATTAAAGAGGTGGCTTCCCCCTTTTCATTGCAGCTCAGATGTGCTTGGATGATCTGATGAGAAGCTTGTCGATTCCACAACCCCACAAGTGGCTGAGTAGGGTGCTGGTGCTTGGAGGCACCACTCATTTCGAACGAGGCTGAACGAGGTTTTGTCGTCGCATGTGTAGCTCATCCTAAGCAGTTTGTGAAATTTCAATCTGGGAGGTTCCTGGCCTTGATTGCCACAGGCGCCTGAAGCACATGAAGAATTGTTTCGATATAAATATCCATAACCCCGAGATATCACCGAGTATCTCGCACTACGGGTCATCACAATTATCTCAAAACACAGACCTTGTCCCTCCAATGAGCAGAACAGGCCAAATCTGAAGCAAAGAGCAAGGACGCTACTAGGGGCTCCTGGGCTTACTACTAGGAACAAGAAGCTACTAGGAGCACAGGGCATCGCTACTAGGAGCAAGGACGCTACTAGGGGCTCCTGGCCTTACTACTAGGAGCAAGAAGCTACAAGGGGCTCCTGGCCTTACTACTAGAAGCAAGAAGCTACTAGGGGCTCCGGGCCTTACTACTAGGAGCAAGGACGCTACTAGGGGCTCCTGGGCTTACTACTAGGAACAAGAAGCTACTAGGAGCACAGGGCATCGCTACTAGGAGCAAGGACGCTACTAGGGGCTCCTGGCCTTACTACTAGGAGCAAGGACGCTACTAGGGGCTCCTGGC